GATTACAAGGCGAACTCCCAACTCTTGAGCCACGATCGCCCCATACAATGCACTACGAATGCGCTTTAGGTGGCGAACTTCAAACAGGCCATTGGGTTTTTTAGCTCTCCACATCTGTCCACAATACACAATTTAGATTTGAAGTTAACGAAGCAATCCCAAATTTGCTGCTCTTCTTCTTCTTCTCCATCTATTCGGCAGATTCAGCACAGTTTAATGCAGTTTCCTTTCTCCCCATGAAACAATGTCATTGTTTCCTTTGTTGTCACTCAATTTGTTTAACATTGCTCCACAAAAATGAGTAAACTGCAACTCAATACAAGCTAGTATATTCTTCATTTCCAAAAAAAGGTAAGTAATGAATGTAAGCCACAAAAGCTACTGGAATTAACAGTGTACAGTGAGGCAACTTAAGCTCTTTACAGTGTTTTTGAGGGAGACTTATCTTTTTCTTATCAAAAATGTTCACATCAGTAAAAGGGAAAAAGCTCATTATTTTGCAGCTTTGTTCTGGTTGTGCTAATTTGACATTCTCGAGGTCCTTTTTCATGTCTGCGATGAAATATTTATGGTGTGAAGAAAATATTCTGTGAGAATTATCTGGCCATCAACACAATGCTCTGTGGCTTTGTGTTAGGCATTACATCAATTGGAATAAATGTTTTTCTAAAGGCCATTGATTCACTTTGAACAAGGAAATCTGTGAACAATTAAAAGGTGCATGAATATCTACCGGTGAAATTTAACAGCTTTTACATGCCTAAAACCACTTTGATGCCCAAAGGTGTCCTTTCACCTTCAGCAGTAGAATACATCAGACAGTCTTCCAAATGAATTTCTGTCAATTTTTTTGGGATGAACATTAGAGGCACAGTAATTATTATTTTCTGTCAGAGGTTTGATTTTGATCAGTAGAGCAGAGGAGCTTGTATGTTCAGACAGCTGTGGGCTACAGCTTTGCCTAGTTTAATTGTTCCTTTCGTCAGATACAGAAATATGGAAACATTGATGAACTAAAATCTTCACATTAAGGCTCAATTTAAAAATAGACTTCACCAAACGCCAAAAATCCCCCTAAAATACTTCCCCAAACAAAACAAGACTGGCAAAAAGATTTCCTCTCTGTATGAGAGTATGTCTGATGTCCTATTACATGTGACACAACTCATTTGATTAAGAGATTCTCTGCAGCTTGTGCATATTTAAATATCATATGGAGCATTTTCGTCTGATCACATTTACTTTGTCATTTATCTTCCAGGCATTCACTGAATTTCCAGCCCAGCGCAAAGTTATTTTTTAAAATAACCATACAGAAACTGAGAAAAACAATCAACAAATTGTGATAAAAAAGACCCAAAAAAATCAACGAATAGATCAGAATTAAGATGGGTGGTATTGTTTAGCTCATCTTTATTTGGTGACACTTATGGCCATGGCTTATTTATATATGTATTTTTTCTCCTGTTATCAGTACTGTGACCCCCCGTTGGCTGGCTTAACTGGCCATACCACTGCATCTATAGCTCACAGAGGCAGGGAAAAAGAGCCATAGTAAGTTTGGTGCCACAGTGATAAACATGCAGCTGATTGAGTTCACAACCCTGGCTTCAGGAGCAGCTGCTTGGTCTGCCAGACTGTTTGAGGTGCTGGCAGAATTGAGATACCTCTCTCTTTCAGATACTGCCACATACAACATCTTAACAGTCTGGGACTGAATTCATGTACGCATTGCATAATATACTGTCTGTTTTAGTGAGGTGATTAGTGACTTTGCAGTGCAGCTGTCTCTGATGTTTGTCTGCCAAGGTACCGAGCTGGGAACTGCTTTATGATATGGTGAAAAGCTTGGGTCTGTGGATGCTGCCAAGCCGGTTCATTAAATGCGGAGCTTCTTTTGAGATGCAGAATTTAATTTATTCAATGTTTGGATTAAAGTCTTAACTCTAAAATGTAAGAGCAACTAGAAATCATTTAGCAGATGGCAATACACAAGGAATGGCCAAGTATAGTGTATCAGCTGATGTTTTCAGAGCACACATTAGACATTTATTTTGTTTTATATATATGTGTCCTAAGTTTACATTGGCAAAATATCAAGGTCTTGACTTCCAGCAGTGAGGCAGGTAGCTGAGGAGGGATTAGCAAATTCCACTTTTACAGTTTTATAGTAATAGTACATGCATAGTATTAATAGTACGTATTAGCAGTTTTTGGAAAAGCTATGAAAGACTGTAGAAATCATTACTTTTTTTTCTATTCTCTTTTTTATTGAATTTTTGTGAACCTCTGCGAATGGGATGGACATTTTAGACAACCTTAATGTCATTTACAGAGCTCAATAATTTCAAGAAAAACACTTGCACACATTGCAGAGCAAACACTCTGAGCGAGCTCTTAGCTGTGGGACTGCAGTGTAGTGCCAAGCCAGGCGAGGTAAGCTCCTGAAGGGAGGTGAAAAGCATAAGGCAGGTTTAAGGTTGGAGGCAATTGTTGTCAGGAGAGAGGATGGCAAACACTTCTGCCTTTGAGCTTAACTTAAAAGCAGAAGATGTTAAGCAGAGAAAGCTGAAGAGACTGCACTGACCCAGTGTCAAATAGATGTGGTGGCTTAGGGTAATACATAATCTAGAGTTTGAACTACTACACTTATTTAAGCTAAAGCAGATACTAATTTATTTTAATCACCCAGTTTAATTACGCTTTGTAATTGCTAGATGTGAAATGAGGTAATCAGAATTCATTCATGTGTGATGTAAATGTGTATATTAAATTAGATGCCATTCTGTCAAAATGTTGATGAGATATTTCATCCATCCATCTTCATCCGCTTTATCCGAGGCCGGGTCACGGGGGCAGCAGCCTAAGCAAAGAGGCCCAGACCTCCCTCTCCCCAGCCACCTCCTCCCGCTCGTCCGGGGGAACACCAAGGCGTTCCCAGGCCAGCCGAGAGATATAATCTCTCCAGCGTGTCCTGGGTCTGTCCCGGGGCCTCCTCCCGGTGGGACATGCCTGGAACACCTCACCTAGGAGGCGCCCAGGAGGCATCCTTGTCAGATGCCCGAACCACCTCAGCTGGCTCCTTTCGATGTGGAGCAGCAGCGGCTCTACTCTGAGCCCCTCCCGGATGGCCGAACTTCTCACCCTATCTCTAAGGGAGAGGCCAGCCACCCTTCGGAGGAAGCTCATTTCCGCCGCTTGTATCCGCGATCTCGTTCTTTCGGTCACTACCCACAGCTCGTGGCCATAGGTGAAGGTAGGGACGTAGATCGACCGGTAAATTGAGAGCTTCGCTTTTACACTCAGCTCCCTCTTCACCACAACGGACCGGTGCAGCGTCTGCATTACTGCAGCTGCAGCCCCAATCCGTCTGTCGATCTCCGGCTCCCTTCTCCCATCACTCGCGAACAAGACCCCGAGATACTTGAACTCCTCCACTTGAGATATTTCAGTGAAACACTAAATTTTCACCCCACTGTGGTGCTAGATAAGGAGTCGCCAAGATTAATCACGTGCGGACTCTGCATCTAGTCTGTGGGATGTGTTTGAGCAGACTAATTGTTATTTTTCAGTCAGGACTAAAGTGGAAAAACTGGTTAACAGACTGGCAGTGACATCCCTTAAGCCGCATTGGCAAAATCAAAAGTGGTTGATTTAAAGCTCCCAGGATTGTACGAAGATGCCGTATTGTCCATCTTAAGGTTACTGTTGGGATTTAAAGCACACAAAAATACTTATTTCATTATCAACTTAAGGCAGAAATTCACAAGCGGTAAGAAAATGATACGTCACACATGCACCTTGACTCTAATAAACAACAGACTGAATAAAAAATGAAGGAACTGTGTGTACATACTTGAAATTGAAATGTTTGCAATTGATTTTTCTCCATCTACCAAGAGTACCTTCCTTCCACCCTATTTGTTGCCTTTTATTAAGTTAGTTGCCCGCTGGAGGAGGAGGAGTGCAGCTGCAGAGACAAGCTCATTTGAGCCACAATGGAATGGCAGGGCAAAGCACTTAAAGGCCTTGGGAAATCAGGTCATTATGAGCCGTGGTTTTCAGGAGTATGACCAGAAAGGTCAATAAGAGAGCATGGAAGCGCTGAGACAAAGAAGGCGTTAATAGGACTCAATTTTCATCTGGGTGAGCTCTCAGAAAGAGGCTAGAGGGTTGACAGGTCGTCATTGAATATTATGGGAAGCAACTTCAACTCCTCAATTGTCATTGTCTTACATGCCCCCTGGAGACTGAGGGATAGACAAATAATCACAGCAAACCTTGCAGATTTATGCAAAATTTGTCGACAACAAACTCACCTGCTGCTATGATGCACAACTTGCCCTTCGCCTTTTTAACAGCAGTACGTCTGAAAACTGGAAACATAATAATCCTTTTTTCTTATGCACAGAAACTTTCTCGGGGATCTTTGCACTGAGATGAAGAGTAGAGCGAATAAGAGAGAACAGATGAGTGGATTATAAATCACAGCAAAGTCCTACCTCTGGACCAGTATTTGCTGATCGTGTGTAAAAAAGGACATTGCATTCATGTCATGCATCTCTGTAGAGCTTCCCTGCATTTCTACACTGTTATTCATTACTTCTTGCCTTTTGCAGCTCACTAGCTATCAACTGTGTATCGTGTGAAACATAAATAATAAAATGTCATTGCACGAGGCGTCAGATTTTTTGCACTGTAGTTGAAAGATGCGAACATCATTGCCTCTTTTTTTCCTTGTCTGTTTTTGTCTTCCTCAGATTCCTTACAGTAGCTCGGGCTGCCTTGTGTCAACCAGAGTAGAAACATCAGTGGGTGGGTGCTTGACAGAGCCAGCACCGGGGAGTTAATACCAGTCACTGCTGGAGGTGTGACACAGTCCCAGCCCACAACACATTGATTCACACAGGATTAAGCCACTGCATGATGCTTCAGGTTGAAGGCCTGGTGCAGGTGATTTACTCTCCCTGTCAAACTTAACATCTTTGGACCTTCCTCTGCCCTGTTCCTGCTTTCGGTGGGACTACTAAAAAAAAAGCATCTGCTACTGTAACAACCAGATCACCGAAAGGGATGACTGGCAGTCATCTTGCTCAGGTAAATTTTACATCAATTAAGAGTGCAGCTGTTTATGAATTTAGTTATCCAAATGTGTGTTTTCTTTATTTTAAGGGTGGAAAAACGTTTTTCTTTTTCAGAATTTATGATCAGATTGAGACTAATGCTCAACTGTGAAGATGCTGACTCCCACGATTCCCTTTAAACTGAAAGGGATTGAATATAGAAGTTTTATACCACGGAAATATCAAAATTGGTCCACTCATTTTGAGCTATATATCTGTGCTCTTGTGTTTTACAGCTGCAATGAAAATACAAAAGAAGCTAAACATTCTGGAAGTGACAAACACGTTTTATATATTGAGCTGTCACCATCCAGTCAGGCAACATAATAGTGACACTGTCTTTGTTACAGTTCTGAATAGAATAAAACTCCTGGTGTCAAAGGAATTAAAGAATCAAATGTAGTGCAATACTCTTTAAATACTAATCTATACAGAAACAGAAGAAACCGGCTGCTAAAATAAGCCTCGGATCAAAGGAATACAAAAAAATGTGTTGTGCATTTGTGATTCTTTCAATGCTGTCATGGTCATTCATGCCAAGGAAAACATCTGCAAAAATCAGCTCCTTTGGATGTAGATGGATTTCTGTTTTCATATTGCCAAACCCAATCAAAAACAATTACATGCGCTACAATGTGGAAAAAATACTTGCAGCTGTGTTAACCTGAATCCACTTGATGCAACACACAAAGAATGGCGCAGCGATATAGATGCGAGTTTAAGCTTCGAATCTGAAGCGGGAATGAGCTGGTTGGCTACATAATTATGTGGAAATCCAGAGAAGAGGGAGGGTGGCATCTCTGGTAAACAGACTGGGATCAAATGCCTTTGTTTTCACTCCAGACAGAACAGGGTGTTTGGCTTATTTAAAGAGTGGCTGGAGGATCGCATGGTGATTGTTCAGAGCCTTGGCATACCAAATTAGCTTTTGCCATTCATTTGGAAACATCTAATCAAACATTAATTATTGTGACCACCTGTGAAAGGGAGGGGTGTAGAGCGTTGCTCATCTGCTCCCTTATGCTAGCTGCAGGGTTTTTCTCGCTGAATTCAATGAGTGAGCCCCAAACAAGGACCACAGGAGACAGAGGAGCAGATTGCATTCCATCAGATCGTGGAGTATCTAATAAGACTCACAACAGCATCTGAGCCATGCTGCTGTTTGCCAGGTTTTCTACGGCCACTGAGAGCCTGGCATGATTCCTTTGACCCAGATATTTAGCAGCTTAAGAGCTTTTCTTTTTTTAAGATTTTCAGGATAGCCTGTATTACTCCCCCATTCTGAGACGCGCTGGCTGGATGAGCACATTTGCTGCTGAATCTCGCAAAGATGTCTTACAGTAGAGTAATCTCGATTGTCTACCTTTTTGTACTTTGAAAAACAAAACTGGCATGCCTTGGGGTCATGCTTGTTTCCATTGCTTGTTTGTGTTCAAGACCATGTTTTCCAATCAGTTGTGACATGGTCTGTCAGCCCAAGAAGAGTGCTGCTTGTCCTGTGCATAGTCAAATTAGAGTGGCTGGAGGGTGGGTGTAATATAGATGCAGTCAGGTATGGCTTCCAGAGCAGTGCAGCCCAAGAGAATGGCTAGTAATCAGCAACCAGAGGTGTCTAATTGGCATATGGCTGTGTGAGTGCCAGACTGGTCTGCTCACTCATCCAAGTAGAATACATCTTCTAGCCATCAAAAAATGTGAGACAAAGGCAGTTCTAATAAAAATTGTGAATACATTATCTTCAGTGTGGATGAGTTATTTAAAGGAGAAAGTGGAAGAGATGGAGAGGGAGACAGAGCAGGAGCGAAAAAGAGCACTCGCTGTTCTTTGCCTGACAGAACCCCATGAGGCAAATTGGTATTGAGAATAGATACAAACAATAGTTATGTGTTGAATTGCCAAACCCTTGGGCCTGAAGCTCTCCAACACACACAAAAAAGAGCAAGCCATTTTGACTATAGAATAACACATCAAAGCCAGAGGAGAATTGGACAGTCCATCAAAAACTGTGCATCTGGCAGCCCACTTCTGGGCACCAAGCCATCTCCATCCAAGCATTTCTTTCTCATTAAACAAATTTTACCCCCACCAAAACATAGCTAAAGCAGCAAAGTCAAAATCTAATTTCCCTGAATGAAATCAAGCAAAAATAATTCAGCTGCCAGCGCTTTCACAGGCACGCCATGTGTAAATAATCTTAAATCTCAAATGGCTGCTGCCTCTCAGAAGTTAATCTAGCATTAGATACTCTCTATGATACTTACCATCGTATCTTATCGGGACAAAATGTAGAAAAGCCTCTTTGTTGTATTGATCTGGAATGTCAAAAGAAAAATTAAAAACTTGTCCTGTACAGAATCAGTAGATTAGAAAATGCTTACCACAGCCGCACTGATTACATCTATTTCATGACAGATGTGACTTTGAAATAAAATAAACTCCCAGTAATGTTAGTATTGGATGTGTGGATCACCAGCTTAATACCTCGGCTTGCATAAACATAAAATGTTTTGCTATTCTTTATGTGCTGCAAATTCCCACGGTGCCCAAATCAGCTGTATTTGATATTAAGACCAATTTTTTGCTAAACCTATGCAGCAGAAATTGCTTCTGTCTCATGTTTTATGATTACAGAATGTCAAAAAACTGCAGGGGAGCTCAGTGGGACGATAAGTCAATAATAACAAATCTCTCAATACCCAAGTGCTACAGTGTAGCAAAAATTGTTTTTGGAATCACTGCAGTCATGAACACCAGTCTTTCAAAGCATCAAGTGTTACAGATTTAATTTCATATTCATTAATTTTGCTGTTGGTGCAACACAATTAGAGGCCTAGTGAATCCAAGACTAATCCTTAACACTCCTAGGACACGAATCACAGTAGCAGGAGATAGGAATAAATGAGCTGCAATAAAAAGGTACTAATACCCTGTATTACTCCAAGCTTAGAGTCTCCCCTTCCATCAGTGCTTGTTTCCACACCTCCTTTGGGACGCTAAGATACTCTTGCCACTCTGTCTATTATTTCTGATCTATGTAGGTGGAGAAGAAGTCATAGTATCCTACAACTATCAACTACAACAGCAAAGCTGTTTTACAAGTCAAATCTTATCCATCCAGCACTATGATCCATGTGTGAAAAAGTCTGATGGACTTGGAAAGTGACGCCTAATATTACATTTCTGGGCTGGAGGATTCAGTGGGAAGGTGACCAAGGTTTCTGATCATATTTATGAATGAGCTGATGATGAATTTCATTTTCCTCCCACAGGAGTAAGAGAGGAAGCAATGGGCTGGACTATGACTCTAAAAGATGACTTTGGGGTCATTGCCTGGACACGGCAAGCTGGGAGCTACCTCAGCCTCTTCCTCCTCTTGTCTCTCTTTTCCATATCTGTCCGTTTAGACAACGTGTATCCTAGAGACCACCATTTTTCATGGAAAGCAGGTAAAATATTTATTTTACGTTATTACAAGTGCATTAATAAAGGTCCTGTTTTGACTTATATTTAAATTAAGATATGCAACCCACCTGCTTGCATGTAAAACAACATAATTTTGTTCTTAATGGTAATTTAAAAAGTCAAATCTCTTTGAACCTGTTGAGGATCATGGAGATAAGATACGCAGCATGTGGAAGCACACATTTGCACACATGCATTTTCAGTGAAACCCGTTTTGTGGGGAAAATATTCCTTCTTTTTTTGACACACATTGAACTGCAGTTGGACATCATCAAGCCTTCAGGCCCAAGTGCCTGGGGTGAAGAGAATAATAATGCTTTTTTTTTTCTTCTTGTTGAGTATTCACTCACAGCCCCAAAATGACAAGGACAGCTACAGTTGCTACAGTAGAGTGGCATGGTTATTAAGATATTGAGGCATATGAAATAGTCTTCCTGGCATGTTTAGTGAATTTATGGCCCCAGTTATATATAGTACACATTGTTGTAATGGAAAACATGCTGCGTATTGAGCTGTACAAATCCCTTATTCACACACATTCACATGCACTCACACCTAAAATGTGTTTTACATCTCATGTGTGTCATTTATGCATCCATTTGGTAAATGGATGCATAAATGCAAATTATGCAAATTATTAACATTTTTGTAAATTAATCACCTTTTGGAAACCTGTAGTGTAAGCTGATGTCATTCTTTTTTTAACAAGAATTTTGAGGCAAACTCAGAATTCATCCTTTGTTCGCTTCACCAATTCAATTGAAAATGCATTTGCAAAGCAGCTTGAGGAGGAAAATTTGGCCTTCCCACACAAAAGCCCCACTTGCTGTGCGATTAGCACTTTCATTTCTCACTCTGTGGTTGGGTAATGACACTGCCCAAGTGATAAAGAGATTGATTAATTTCACTTGAAAGAGCTTATGTTCAAAACGGATGTAACCGGAACACCAAGTGTGAGGATTTGACATCCTTGCAGAGCTAAGATGGCTTATAAGTTGTTTCTTAAATGGAAATGAAAATCAATTTACAAAGAAGAAAGGGAATCTCAAATTTAACACACCTCACCTCTGAATAAATCCTCCTAATGTCTGTTTGACTGCAGGAAAACTGTTCGTCTCAAACTGCTGTTATCACAATGCTTTGATTTGAACTGCGGAACGACTCAAACTCGAGTCGCACAAACACAGATTGAACACTTACTGTATTCGCATCGTATTGTGCTGATGAATGTCATTGATGTGAGCCACATATTTGTCTTAATGTCGGCAGCGGCTCCAAGCTTAATGTCTTAACTCAGACTATTAGGTTCATGTTGGCAAATATTGACAGGAACCATTTGAATATTTAATTTAGCTGACAGGCAAATCTTTTTCTTTAGGAATTGTCATTGTAGCAAAGATCTGTTCTCAATTAGCACAGCCACCCTTTTGTATGTCTGGCGTGTCTATCTAGGCCAGCAGCATTGTGGGGTAAGTCTTTTGTGTGAGCCAGTTCCCAGAGCTGTGGCTAAGCTGCGAGTCTCAGGCTGAAACAGGGAGCTGGAGCTATTTAAGCTTGACCTTCATCAGTGTCTTGAAGAACAAAATAGAACAGTGAGACACTGCTGCTAATGGCATTATTATTTCACCCTTAAAATAAATTGCTAAAAGAAATTCCCTTTAACATCTATAGATCACTTTCCTGGCAGTCAGTGCCACATTTCCAGGGTCATAGTCCTGTTTGCATCAGAATGCAGATATCGTGAGCGGAGCATTTTAAGTAGGATTTATTTAAGCATCTGCTTTTAAACATGCCACTGTGCTCATCCGGTGTCAGCTTTAGTCTACTGAAGTAAGTAACGGCTTCTTTTCCAAGTTTTCAGTTGTCATCGCTGAGATTAACGTAACTGTTCCAAAGAGGGTCTAAGGTGTTGGATTTAGCTCTCAAAATGTATTTGTCTTTTTTTATAGTAAAGAAACAAGAAAACTGTCTTCCTGGGTACGTGTTAGCGTTCATCCCAAATGATTTCTATTATACATCAAAGCTTGTTTTTTTTCTGTCTAAAAAACAAAAATAAAACGACACCCTCATTTAAGTTTTTATTTTCCTTCTTTGACTTGAGGACCAAGCTAATTCAGGAAACTGATATATCTTTAAATCCCAGAAGAAGAAGACAACATTGGTATTCCAACGTATTTTAACAGTACACTGGAGACTGCACTTTCTATTTTTTAACTAATGTTATTTCCCTATTTACACCTCTTAGTTCTTCCTCCTTTTTTTATTATACAAAATATTATTTTCTTGTACTGTTGGCTGGAGTCTGCTAAAAAAACTCCAGGATGTAATCTACTCTTCATCTAAATTATGTGGGAACCTTCAGCAGGAAGATTCAGCTGAAGGGCAATGATTTTCAAAAGATTGAGAAATCAATAAAAGTTTTCCTTAATGAGAGAAATCTCAGCCGCTCCTGGATTATTTAAAGGACTTACGGGGCTGAAGCCCCAGGATCCAGTCTGTAAATCATCTTAAATTGGTTCAGCTTAAAAGCGTAAGAGTCCCTGCTGCTTTAAAAATGTGACTTAATTGAACTTGGGTAGAATCATTTTTTAAAAAACA